CAATAGTTGGGGCTATACAAGTGCCTTTGAGATGGTTTAAGAGGAGTTAGACATTACTTTGATTGCAGGTTTTTTTCTTGTTCTTTACCATCAACCGATCAAAAGGTTGCTAGGTGTCTGATGACACTCTATCATTATATATATTATATCGAAGAAATTGATAAAATAGAGCCAAAGATCACTCAATTTGATGAAGAATTGACCAAGAACAAAGAAAAATGGACAAAGTATTAAAAAAAAGACTTAGGGAAAAATTTGGTGAAAATAAGACCAAACGCGTGTCAACACTAGAATAATCACGTAGGCGTCGTGCAACATCGCGCATGCGAAACTTTAGAAGGCCAGAACGCGTGTCAACTTCTGGAATAATCATGCAAGCATCATGCGTAATCGCGTGCACGATAGAATTAGGTAAGTTGCATCGCACGCGCGATGGAGGCTATCGTACTCATGATGGACCCTTTTTCTGGACAATTTCTGACGCATTCTGGCACTCATTGGCAGCTTTAAAAAGGGGTTTTTTGACACTTTTTGAGGGGTTCTGCGATTTTACACTGCAGGTACGATTTTACAACATCATAAGCCATATTTGGAGCGTCTTTGTTTGTTTGTTTGTGGATTTTCTCGATATTTTCTAATTCCTTTTAAAATAAATAAACTAATAATTTTCTCGACAAGTTTGCAAAAGACTCGCACTTGAGAGAAATTTGATGAGTTTGAATTGCTTTTAAATTTTGTGAAAGATGTCATGAAATGTGGTTGACTAATTTGAAAAGACTTGGCGTGGAAGCAATGTTTATTTGTTTTTTGAATTTTATTATGAAAATGACTTTGATTTATTTATGAAATTGGTGAATGATTTTTGAAAATGCCTCTTGACTTGATCAAGGTTTTTGGGTTGGAAATGTTGATTTTATTATGAGATTATCTAATTAATTAATTAATTAAAAATGAATTAATTAAAATCAATTAACTAATGTAATTAATATAATTAATTAAAATATTACTAATTAACTAATTAGAAAAAAGAAGGGGGATTTAAGTAAAAGGAAAGTGATATAGTAATATGGTTTAAAGGGACATAATATGAATTGATTTGTGTTTGTTTTGAGGGTTTGTTGAATAAGAAATTGGTTTTATGAATTGTAAGGAACGCATGAGTTTTCTTGTATGTTAGATGTATGATGGTTGTATGGCATGCTGAATCTGTGATGTATGTGATATGTTATTTGCAACTGATTTGGAACTTTCTCTTGTGTTTTCAGGTTAATGGCATGTATGGTGATGAGTAACTCGTGACCTGGAAAATAATCCATATTTTTTGCTTTTTTCTATATTTTGTATCCTACTGTAATGAAACTATACTATTTCTACTTCTATTTTTGTAACAACATATGAATATTCTTTTTAATTTGGCCCTTGTCTATTATTAAAAAAAACTACCTATGCAAATTTATTTAAAAACAAAATGTCATTGCAAATTTGATTAATAATCAATTTTATTAAAGCAATATAAATTAACCATTATTAAAAAATGGAAAAATCAATTAGTATTTAACAAATATGCAAGTTCAAATGCAAAGCTATATGAAAAAAAATTGCAAATATGAAAACAAAATAACTTCAATGCAAAATCAATTAAAAATGTGGAATCAATCGCAAAATTCAATTGTTAATGCGATATGCAAGTACAAATGGTATAGTTAGCGAATGCATAAATGATTAACTGAAAACTCAAATTTTATTTTGGATGGAAATGATACAGATGGACTATGCAAATGACGGTGTGCTATGGACTAGGCCGATGAAACTCATGGTAACTAGACCTAATGATATTGAATGAGTCGAAGGGAAAATTAGGGCATGACAGTTATTCCTATTTAATTATTTTTAGTCAGATATTGTGAAGGATTTTGGTCTTCTTGATATCAACGGCATAAGGTAATTAAATATAAACAGACTTAAATTTTACCCTTTAATGCGATGCAAAAATATGAGTTTATGTTTTTTTTCTTCTTTTTGATGGAGACATGCAATGAAATGATTCTTGGCAAACCACCTTTATTGGAGCAAGGGTGCAAAGTAGATTTACTGGCAGATTGTTGAAGTAAAGGTGAAAGTTGTGCTGATGGAATCTATTGAAAGATTCTACTGGGAGGAATTTACTTGAAGATTCTGCTTGGAAAAAGCTCCGAGTATAGATTAATGAGCTATACACCAATGGATTGGGTATAAAGGTCTTGTTAATCTACCATAAAATAATAACAACAACATTAATTATGCAATGCATTGAACATCAACAGTAGTGAATTAGGGGATTCTATAACAAAACCTAACCTCCTTTGTATTATTTTCAGAACAACCTTTTAATATTTTTCAAATTAAAACTCGAAACCACTCATCCCCCCATTTTATAATTAATTTACTTTGCATAATATTTGTCTTTTTAATTAGCAGTTTCTGTAGATCGATATTTTTATTACTGCGACATTATCGGTACACTTGTCGAGAAGTCATCAGTGTTCCTAGGTAGTCAATCGACGAAAGGCCTTCTCACCTCTCACTCCAATCATTATACGTATTAGAAGGATAAGTTTGTCCGAGTAAGGGGGCGAGATGATTCCATTGGAATGCTGGGATCTGATAGTGCCCCCTTCTTTCCTTTGTCCTGGATAGATGATCTAAAAATAATCATGAGGTACGACTCAATATTTCTTTCTCTCAAGGAGAACAAGATTGTTGGCTTCTTGTTGCAATTCACTAGTATGTACTACCGAGAAGTAATTAATATCTGGTTGGGGCGTGGCAAGCATCTTGCCACCTATATAGGTAAAAAAAAACTAAGTCAATTACTTCAGACAGGGACACCAAAGTTATCAGTCATTTTTGGATTACTCTTTGGAGATTGTTTAGAACCGCACTGAATCGGAGTTCTACAGCTCCTCCTCAAACAGATGGACAACGTGAGGTAACCAACATAACTTTGGGAAATATGATTCAGAGTGTTTGTGGTGACAAACCGAAACATTGGTATTTAGTTTTGGCTCAAGTCAAATTTTCTTACAACAATGTTGTGCATTCAGCTACAAGAAAATCATCATTCTCCCTGACCTATACTTATGTTCTTAAGCATGTGGTTGATTTGGTTAAGTTGCCTAAGGCACCTAGAGTTAGTGTGGTTGTTGAGAACATGGTCGAGGAAATGGTGGCCGTTAAAGAAGTTGTCAAGGCTAAGTTAGGGGTTACCAGACAAAAGAATAAAGCAATTGCTGACAAATGCAGGAGAGTCAAAGTTTTCAATGTAGGAGACAATGTGATAGTGTTTCTACGCAAAGATAGGTTCTCGATTGGTGCTTACAGCAAGCTGCAGCCACTCAAATATGGTCCGTTCAAAGTGATTCTAAAGATCAATGATAATGCTAATGTGGTAGCTCTTCTGACAGCCATGAATATATCCAATAAATTTAATGTTGCTAACATTCATGAGTATCAAGATGAGGAGACTCTTTATCAAGAAGATAACTCTGGGTCGAGTTCTTCAGAGGTGGAAGATGTAATACCCCAAATTTGTCCTACCCCTTTTTAGGGACTACCTGACTTACGTATCTTGTATTTTTTATATGCACATTCTCCAATAAGTCATTTGGCATTGCATGTATCAGTGACCATGGGATTGAAGGACTCGTTTCTGAGACTTATTGCAAAAAAATTGGGCGTTTCGTCAAATTTGAAACAATGAGAATTAGAAACGGCGTTTTTACTTGTTCAGACTTTAAAATTCACAATTTGCATCCGGAGTACCGTCTCGAGCTAATTTTTCAAGTATCTAAATTGTCTTGGTATTATCTTCATCTCATGTGCAAGCTGGAAATTAATTATGCGCGTAATGTTTATGAATAATTTTTTTCTCTGAAGCGGTGTTGAATTTGGTGACTGGTTATTTGTTTCTCCAGCGTTCAGAAATTTATAATTTGATTTTGATTCAGCATATTCGGCAGATTCCTCGGGTATTGAGACCTCTTGGTTTTATTATTAACCCTCCTGTTCAGATCAAGGGCTATTTCTGTGAAGAAAACCTCTAAGAAATTTAATCATTTGAAGGCAGTAAACTGAATTAATTGTTGATCCATCGTCTCGCGGGCATTCAAAAATTCCTAAGTCCGATCTGGCTCGCCGTCTCGGAGTGGGTTTTATATCAAAAAGTCTGTCTTGATGCCCTCTTCGATACGTCTCTTCATACTGAAAGCTAATTCCTCAAGGAAGGTCTCCAAATGAGCGAATCTTTGGAAGATGCACAGTGGAAAATATAATGGAAAAAGTGTGCTGAAGGTGCAATTTTTAGACGCTAAAAAATTCATAATTAAATCCTCGTTCATTATTTGACACCCGTCTTGGTGGCCGAAATTCCGTCTCGATATCATCTACATTTCATCTTTTATGGCTGAGAGCTATGTCCTTAGGGAAGGTGTCACAAATTATGGATTTCTGAGGAATTTTTCAGCATAAAAATAGTGACAGATATTATTTTTGGCGAAGTTTAAAATTTCACATCTCGATGAATTTTCATCGTATCGTATTAGCTCTGGCGGCATTGGTTCAGAAATTTCGTTATCATCGTTTCGGTTTCATACTCCATGTATGTACAGTATCCAGAAGGCTTCTATTTTTCGTCTGTTTCACCAGTGACGCACTGAAAAAACTGCAAGTTAAATTTAATTTCATCTGATACAATGTAAGAGAAATTTCAAAAATTTATAACTCAATCTATTTTTATCCGATTGATCTCGTTCTTTCGATAACACTTTACAATTTTTAGCTGGACATTTCTCATGTTGTCTCCGGCGTGAAATCTCGCACCATTGATGACGTGGTATTGTGAGCTCGTTTTTCATCTGACGCAGACAAGTTTGGGCCCAATGTTGAGGCCCATTTTCAAGGTCCAATACAAGAGTATATATTATTTTTCTCTTCACAAAATAACAACATCACTCTCATTTGTTAAAATCTCACTCTCTCTACTTTTTCTTCTATCTTTTTCTCTCAACACAAAAAAAGCCCCAAATCACATTCAAACTACTCTTCCCTCCAAAATCAAGAACAACCACCATCCTCCGATCACCGACCAACCTCCCTCCTCGCGGCGTACCCTCCGCAGACCAAGTTCCCTCCGCCACCGAGTGGCATTTCCTTTCCTCCGTCACCGCGTGACCATACTCCCTCTCTTCTTCTCCATTTGCAACCTTCTACTATTTTCTTCAAGAGCTAATTTCTACAAACTCCATTGTTTCTTGAATTTGAAGCTTAATTCTAGAATTGTTAATTGAAATTGGAATTGAATTGATGAGTTGGGTTTAGGTTTTGTTTACAATCCTTGAATTGGACATAGAGTTAGAGATTTAAGTTGGTGATTCTTGATGTAGAGGTTAATGCACATTAAGTGTTTGTGTTAATGCTTAGTGTTAGGATTTTTGGTCAAGAATGACATAGTGATGATGGAGAAGTGTGGTATAGGCTAAAAATGTTGAAATGGTGATATTGGTTGTTTGATTGTTAACTTGATATGCCTCTTAAATTTTAGCCTTGAACCAAGTTTGATTTCAATTATGTCTTTTGGTTGTAGTTTAGACTAAATCATGTTGCTTGTTAATTGTTGTTGATTGTTGGTAAAAATATGATAAAAAGAGAGTTGTTGAATTAGTAACATGAGGCTTGAGACAAATGAAAAATATCATAACTCAAATTTTTTCTTTTACCGACACGCAACATAAGCTCAAATTTGATGTTACTTTTTAACCATGATGAATTTTTAGGCTTTTGATTAATGGAATTTGACTCTCTCAGTGATTCCGGAGCCAATGGTGTGTTTACTTTTCAGTTTCGGCAACTTTTTCTCCGTTTTTTCTGCTACTGTACTGTTACGAAAATAACATTTGGGCATAAATTTTGGACGAATCGAGTCCGTTTTTGAATCTATTGGCACGTTTATAAGTTGCTATATTTTTTGCGTCTAATTCCAGATAATTTTTTCCGCATGCCTATTTTCCGTTTTTGAATTTTTACCACTCCGTTTGATATGTATTTTGTACTTTTAACTTTTATGTGGTATATTTGTTTACTAATTCACACTATATCCATAACTTGTGATGTTGTTAATTTCACTTGGTGTACATGGTCTCGGCTAACGTGACATTGTTCACTAGCATGATTGCAACTTCTCAAGATCTATGTTACTAACACTTAATGTCAATTCCATGTTCTACTCCTTATTCCTAACTTTGACATAACTTGTCACTTCTTTAGTTTGTGTTGATCCTTGATATTCTTTGCTAATATTTACTATTTTATGAGTTGTCAATTGATTTCGGTTAAGTGTAAACTCCAACGCTAATCATTTATTGTTTCAATTCTCAAGTTTGTGCATATGAAAAACCACATTTCCAATATAAAACATGTCAATTTGAGAGTTGAAAACAACATTTTACATTTGTGTATTTTCACTTGTTTTGACAAATTTTGATTGCAAATTCATTCAAAGTCTTACCAGTAGTGCTCAGAAATCTCTTGTCGCACGATTACATAGCATTTAAAATTGATTCAAACCTTCTCGGATCAAAATTTTGACCGTTTAGACCATTTACGGAGTTGCTGTCTTGAACCGTAAAATAGCCTAAACGAAGACCTGTGCTTGGAATTAAATTATGGGACCAACTTTTTTCAAACCGTTTGCCTGCTTTTAAGCTATTACGAGGGTTTCGTTCGATTCCGAACAATTTTTTTTACAGCATTTTAAACGGACCGTTCGTGGAAGTCATGCTTCCACTCCTTTTTTGTCTGAACCAATTGCATATTTGAGTTCCTGGGAACATTTATAAGTTACCATGAAAATGTCATTTCATTCCGAGCATATTTTTTCAGACGCCTATTTTCTAAAACATGTTTTTTACACCGTAATGCAGAATTTTTAGTGCAATTTTTTAGTGCAGATTTTTACACTTTTAATGCAGAATTTCATTATCCTAATTACCATATGATACATGCTTACCTGTTGCTTTTCATTTGTTGATTATCAGATTGATTTTCACACGGCTTCGCCTTATTATTTTTGACTCATTTGTTCATTGTGCAAGGTATATTTTGGTGCTTTCGATAATGTAATATAACAAGTTGTTATGTGATCAAAACATACGACTTATGCTTGCTTCCGATGCGACATGCCTCATTTCTCATCGTCATGAGAAATTCATATTATATTATATGTTGTCTAGATACATGTGATATTTTGTGATACTTTGTGCAGGAGCTTCTGATTACGCATTGCATTTGCAACACACATGTGTTTTTATCTTAGTTGGATATCGTTTCTGACTTTGTTTGTTTCTTGGTGAAGCTTGCTCGACGCGTACTCCTTGCTTCTCCATTGCTTTCGTCCGATTGACGGTCTGCTTACTTTTGGTAGCCGCCGCCACTGCTTTTACATTCTCCCGCAATTTATCTCATTTCTTTACTGCTTTCTAGATATCATGAGAAGTAGGAAATAAATAGCGTGCGCTCAAAGTCGCTGTTTAAAGACCTGCATCAGGCATTCCACACTTGTTTGCTAATTGTGCTTGTGTTTGCTTTCATCTTTTGACGGTTGATGATGTCACTCAATTAGCATTGAGATAACGACTTCGGCCTTTGCATGCTCTCCATAGGATTTTATGGCTTTCTTTGTTGTCGATCGATGATGTCACTCAATTAGAATTGAGATAACGACTTCGATCTTTTCATGCTCCCTTAGGGCTTTATCGTTTTTCTTTGTTAATGATTGATGATGTCACTCAATTAGAATTGAGATAACGACTTTGATCTTTTCATGTTCCCTACATGATAGTTATCCTCACCCCTAGGTTTTTGTTATTCTAACACAAATAGACATTTCCCTCTTAGTATTTTTCTTCCCTTTTTGCATTTGCATTTAAAACTAAAACTTTATTTTTCTTGGCAAATCATAAAACATGCTAATCACACTTAAATCCCTTTTTTCAAGGTAATAAAACACAAACCAATCAAACGTGGCATCTTGCCTTGAAGGCGTAACTCATAACCGTTTTCACAAGGGTTTGTCACCCATAAAAAACACAAAACAAACAAAAACATGTCAGCCAAACTACGACGCTCTGATTCCTCGAAAGGGATACGTAGGCAACAGATCGCGAGGCCTAACTGAGCAAAATTCGTAAATACTTCATTCTTTTCCCCACATTTCTTTTGCATGCATTCTTCCTCAATAGTAAGCAGTAGACATAAATTATACACATCCATAAGATAGATAACAAGAGTGGATACGGTAGAGTACTACGGACGTGAGGGGTGCTAATACCTTCTCCTCGCGTAACAGACTCCCCATACCCCGATCTCTCGGTTGTAGGACAGTGACTTCTCCTTTCTCAGGTTTTCTCGATGTTCACATTTCCCTTCACGTGGGATAAGAGACATTTGATGACGACTTCATTGTTTGATGATGTTCAGCCGGTTGTTTCAGCTGACGACTTCACTGGAGATGATGTTCAGCTGGTTGTTTCAGAAGAGACTGGTATAGAAAGGTTGGTTGCACATATTGAAGAAGAAATCGTGCGTCGGAAAGCATTTTAATATTTAAGAAACTTTAGTTTTAATATTTAAGCAATTTTTTGTTTTAATATTTAAATAATTTTTAGTTTTATTTTAGTTTTAGATTAAAAGTTCATTATGGTCCTTTTAATCCCAATAGAATTTCTTTGTTTTCTATATTTAAAGACTTTTGACGTAATCATAAGAATTATCTTTCATATAATAAAATTTAAAATTTACTTTATTATTGCAGGATCAAGATTAATAAATGTGACACCACATGTATCTTTTCGCCTCCCCATATCTCATGTTTCCCATTTTATTATAATGCTAAACCATTTATTACAGAACAACTTTGAATCCTTCCGTAACTCTTTGAAGTCTTAATACTTGTTTATCTTTAAAAACCTTATTTTAGTGTGATGGTGCCTTCATCTACTATTCTCTATTGAAAATATGGAATATTATATATATTGTGCATGCAACCAATATATTCTTTTTTAGCTCATTTTATTTCTTTAACACTTACCAATATTGATATACCCATCCCTCTTTGAGACTTGCTGAAGCGCTAAAATGACAAGTAAAAAGTAAGTATTTTTATGAGGGTAATATATAGGTTATATCGTATCGTCTTTATAGGGATTAGTGAGAGGAAAAAACTATCGTTCAACAGTTTCAGTCCTTTTGAGTTTGGAAAATGTGTTTGCGGAAAAAGTGCGGGAAAAGTAAATAAAACAATAAATAAAGCGATAAACAATCATCTGTAGCCTAAGAGAACTCATTTTGGAATCGCATTTCACTTTATCCGCAAAATACTTAAACTCACCGATCAATTGCACGCAACCTAAATCACTTGTTAATACCATCACGTATCGCTCACACTAAGGCTATCTTTAACACAAAGTAAGACATCACCCGTATTGCTCTCAGAGGCAATTTCACGCGCAACTTAAATAACCCGGATGCATTTCATAATCGACACCCACATGAATATTAAGTCTAAATCTATGTCTAGAGTCCAGGACCTAATAGATATTCATTCAAGAAAGAGATTCGCAAAGCATATGTCTATGACAAACCAAAACTACGCAATAAAGCAAAAATCAAGAATAAACACCGGTATTAATTTATAAAAGAGATTTCATACAATCTCATGATCAACAAATGTACATACATAAAGAGTAAAGATATATATACAAAACCCACTATTGGAATGATACATAGGGAATAAGGAGATGAATATGAAACTTCTCGCAGTGTCAACACGATCTGAGACAACCAATAACCAATCGACAAGATGCACCACCCAATGATGTTGGGTAAACCTCTAAACTACAGAAAATTGAATCAGAGCTCCTCCAAGAGGGAAAGAGATGATAAAAATCTAAAGAAATATGTTCTAAGCTATTTATACAAAAACTGGAAAAAAACCCATACCGCGCTAAGCGCTAAATACCGCGCTAAGCGCGCCTTCATTTATTCACTAAACCGCCTTAGAGAATGCTAAGTGTCAAATATCGCGCTAAGCGTGCTCGCATTTGCCTGTGCTCCAGAACCCGCACTGAGAGCGCGCTAAGCGCGACCTGAAACAACTTTATTTCTTAAATTTGTCTAAAAATGCCTATTCGGAGTCGTGCCTTCGACACCTTATTCCTCGATGCTCTAAATACGCGAAAATACCTACAAAAAGTCACTAAAACTATCAAACAATACATAAATGAATCATAAATACAATTATACATTAAGTACACATATTTGCACAAAAGTCGAGTTTATTCAACCGAAATTAACAATAAAGAATCGATAAGTGCAACAAAAAAGTATATACAAAAATAGCTACATTTTACACTTATCAAACTCTCCCCAACTTGAACTTGTTTGTCCCTAAACAAGAAACAAACATCTCGAAGAAAAAAAATGATCAACCAAAGAATCACAAATCGACAAGTTTTAAAAACGGAAAACAAATGCTATGGTTCAAATGAAAAACAGTACATACAAAGTAAACACTTACCACTAAACTACGATGATAACATAAACACGAAACAAATGCTAAATACAAAAACATGACAAATATTCTAAAACAACACTAGTTCACAAATGAATCACACCTAACACACAATCATCGGTAGATGACAAACACACAAAAATGAGGTATTTTCAGTCATCCAACAACTTTGCTAACAAAAGATTAAATTATACACTCATCCAAAAATCATATTGAAGACATAAAAGCAAGAATCACAAGGGCTTTTCAAGGTTGTAATGTGGCTTAAGTAAACAAACAAGTGACAAGTCCTAAATCTAATAGAAACAAAAACTTGTCTTAACCTAAGAGAGTGATCAACTCACAAAGACTCAAGCAACACAATTTCAATCAAATTTCTTCTAAATCCCAAATTCTCAACTCAATCACAATACTTATTCAACACAACATTATTCCATACTATTTTTATTTTTTATTTATCAAATCTTTCTTCAATTTTTTGTTTATTTTTCTTTCCTTTCTTTTTCACATTTTTTTCTTTTTTTCTTTCTTTTTCACAATTATTTTTATTTTCTTTCTCTTTTTATTTTACAACCTCATAGCAATCACAACATAAACACATAAATATTTCTCTCCCCAACTTGAATTCAACCATATCAAAATGTGAATACTCCCTACTTTCTAAGGTAATATAAAAATTCAAACCAAAATCATAATTGAGGGTTCAAGAAAATAAAGAATCAATATCCATACAAAACGATGAAGCAAACACTCATAGACAAGTATTTAGCAAAAATAACACGAACATCAACAAAAAGACTCAAAGGGGTTACTAATGATCACACACTTACAAGGTGAATTGACAATTTGGCTAGGTAGTTGTGCTCAAAATGAAACAAAATGCCTTGATCATTTTCATGCAATCATACTGTTAACACAAACAAAAGATTGAGCATAATAAAATCTAGTTAGAACAAGAATTGTGGCCTCCAGCATATGTGAACAATGGAAAGCTACCTCACAAAGGGTAGGAATTAAAGTTATTTACACATGAACAAGTATACAAAAGAATGAATGACATAAAAATTGTAAAAAGTCTAATGATCATGAATATGTTAAAGTATAGAAAGAGATAAACACATATCTCGAACGTGTACAAATCCTTAACAAAATCATTACCACATATTCGCAAGTCGAAACGATCAAACTTGACAAATCACCTCAATATCCTCAAGCTATTCACAATAAGCTCAAAGACAAACACGAAAGTGAACACAATTAATATGCACATTCTAAAAGACCAAATGAAATTGTCTAAAAAAATTTAAAAGTGAAGATATGAAATTTAAGAACTAGTCCAAGTTAAATTTGTTTAGACAATTGCATTCAACTACCTAAACTACAACTAAACAACACTGGTGGAGTGGGAAAAAGGAAGGAAGCAAAGTGACACAAATTAAAGTCACTGGCTGAAAATAGCAGAGCACGCTAAACGCCCGCAAAGCGCGCTAAGAGCGCTCAGGAAAATGCTGAAAAACCAACAAAGCTGCTGCATTTCCACCAAGCCTCCACTACACCAACAAACCTACACAATCAAAAACACAATATATACAGAATACAAAATTATTGGAGTTCCTCCCAACAAGCGCCTGTTTTACGTCGTAAGCTCGATGTCTATTATTTATAAACCAACACGTTGCTTCGGACGAGCCAAACGCTTCACTCCCGTCTTCGCTCAAATCTCTTCAAGCTCTAACCGAAACTACACATCTAACCAGACTTGGCAAACGTGAAACAAAACAAGTATACTATATACAAATGAACAAGTATGTAAAAGATGCACAAATGTACGATATAAACATATTTACGAAACTTAGAAAGCAAATCTATCACGATGTAATTAATACCAACACTAATCCCCAACAACGACGCTATTTTGTTGAAGCGGTAAAGCGACAAGCAAAAAGTAAGTATTTTTATAAGGATGATATATAGGTTATATCGTATCGTCTCCACAGAGATTAGTGAGAGGGAAAACCTACCGTTCAACAATTTCAATCCTTCTAAGTTTGGAAAAGGGGTTTGCGAAAAAAGTGCGGGAAAAGTAAATAAAGCGATAAACAATCATCTGTAGCCTAAGAGAATTCATTCTGGAATCGCATTCCACTCAACTTGTCAAATACTTAAATTCACTGATCAATTGCACGCAACCTAAATCACTCGTCAATACCATCATGTATCGCTCACACTAAGGCTATCTCTAACATAAAGTGAGACATCACCCGTATTGCTTTCGGAGGCGATTTCGCGCGCAACTCAAACAACCCGGATGTATTTCATAACCGATACCCACAAGAATATTAAGCCTAAATATATGTCTAGAGTCTAAGACATAATAGATATTCATTCAAGAAATAGATTCGGAAAGCATATGTCTATGACAAATTAAAACTATGCAATAAAGCAAAACTCAAGAACAAACACCGGTATTAATTGTAAAAAATATTTCGTACAATCCTATGATCAACAAATGTACATACATAAAGAGTAAAAATATACATACAAAATCCACAATTGGAGTGATACATAGGACATAATATGGTAAGTTTCAGGATTAACTCATATATTTAAGATGATAATTTGAACTAGTGAGGCAGAATATGATAAGTTTCAAGATTAACTTATCATATCTTATTTGTCATCAAACACTGAATTAAGATAGGGTGGGATAAAATATGATACATATATCATATTCTATCTCTTATCCTGCGCACCAAACAAACCTTCGGAGTCTTAAAACAATCTGATTCACGTTTGTCCAATTTTCACCATCTCATCACTTTTTGATTAATTGAGAAATCATCAAATTTTAATCCATATATCATTAAAAATAAGTGGGTTAAACCAATAGAATTTATAGCAGTTCCAACCAATTTTACTACCTTAAGAAGTCATCAATTTTAATCCATATATCATAAAAAACCAATTTTACTACCTTAAGAAGTCATCAATTTTAATCCATATATCATAAAAAAACAAGTGGGTTAAACCAACTGAATTTATAGCAGATCCAACCAATTTTACCACATTAATATCAAGGGATATAGTTAGAAAAGTCAAGAAATAATGTCATAATTGATTCATTATTATATTACTCTATCATAGTCAAATAAAAACAATGTCTATTATTTTATTAATGAAGTTGAAATGTCTCAATATACATTTACACACAAATCAATTCATGAATGACCATCTCAGCTTAAGCTTTTCTAAAGTAGTAAAGACCTAGCAACTTTAACATGTATAGGTTGATTTATCAAAGTATAGTCTACTTTATAAAACCTGGCAGTGAACATGGTATGCTAAATATTTACAATCACTTATTAACTTGATTTATAATAAGGAGAGAAGCTAGCATAAAATAAAATATAGAATAAGAATGTTCAACAAAGACACAACTCAACAACCACCCCGCTCCTTTCATTCTTCCAAGGAGGCTACATAGAGTACCAACTCCACCATCTAAAGTAAAAGCAACTAAACTTTTTATATAAAGGAAACAAGTCACAAATTCTTACATAGTGAAATACTATAGGAAAATTGACCTAATTAATCCCAAATTATAAGTGAGAATTAGGGTTTGTAGGGACCCTAATAAGGAAGCAAAAAAGAAAACAAAAGGAGCGTGTGAAAACAAAAGAAAGCAATAAAGCAAAAGAGATCCAATGACAAAAAAAAAAAAAACAAAGAATCTTTCATGGCTCCAATGCTTCACTTCTATCATCTCTAATATAAAACAAATCATGAAATACAACAAGTACAACCTCAAAAAACAAACACATTTTCACTTCTAATTCACTTTTACTTATCCTTCTCATCAATCACACAATGCTTCTAAGAACCTCAATTTCCAAATACAAGAAATTCTTCCAAAAAACTCTAACACACTTCAAATCATTATTCTCTCCATCTTACCAAAAAATTCCAAAAACACCCCTCCATAATAATCCCTCTTACAATGACTTAGAAAAATTCTACACTGACTTCACTGAAAAATGGGATTCAGAAAACAAAAAATCAAAGAAAAGAAACAAGAACAAATTCATAATATCATCATCAACAACAAAGCAACAAGAAGAAGAAAAAGAAGAAGAAGAAATATATTTACATAATCATAATGAGATGGATAAGAAACAAGAGGAATTCGAGGAGAAAAAGAATAAGAGAAAGATAACTCATCAAAGAGGAAAGAAACAAGATTCATCATCATCAATATTGAGTTCAAAGAGTATAGTGGAAAAGAAGATGAAAGAATTGGAAATGTTGGAGATGAGTAATATGGATTATATATTAGACATTGAAGAGGTTCTTCATTACTATACTAGACTCACTTGTCCTTCATATGTTGAAATTGTTGATAAATTCTTCATGGAAATGTATTCTGAGTTCTTGGATTCTCCAAAGAAGATGTGATTCGTGAGTGATCTTAATTCTTTTGTTTCTGAATTTTTGTTACTATATCATCATATAATGTTTTTTTTAGATGATTGTTATTGTTTGTTTAATCTTGTTTGTAAAATTGTAATGTTAATAAGTAATAAGTGTTTGGTGTGTTTAATCTAACAAATAAATTTTGTTTCAAAATTACTGTAATTTTCATTTTTAATATAATAATGATTACTACTTTTTTAATTATATTATTTATTTTTTATTTTCTATATTACTTATAATATATTAATAGAGTTAATTTTGTAAAAATATAATATCTTATAATAATATTATTGTATTTTTTAATTTGTGTACAAAAACTTTAAATAAGAGTTATTTTTAAACTGATAGAGTATTTTTTATCAATAAATCAATTTGCTAGTTGCTTTGGCTTTTTGAAAAAGTATACACATTTTTCAAGATTGTTGTGGACGGTGTTGGTGAGATATAAAGGATATTGTTCTTTTCATGTTCAAGAGTTTTATCATAGCTCAATTTGCGGAATGGTTAATGGACATTTTCTTTTGCTATCTTTTATTATTATTGCAAATGTGGACTTTTCTTTTTTATCCACAAATAAATAAATAAATAAGTAAATGCGCGTTTGACCCACTTTCAATAGTTATGATCATCTCTATCTCTTTAAAAAGTAGTGGATTTATTTATAGAGATGTACACTACTAATAGAATTTGTAGGGTGTTCCACATGAAATTTTATTCGTAGGTAAATCTGCAGGAATTCACAGATAATTTATATTTTAAAAAAAATTAATTGATAAATCGAGACTAATTTATAACATGAAATAAAAAAATAAAAAATAGATGAATCACTACAAGAAAGTATGAAAATTGTTAGGGGTTTTAATCAGGGGTTAAATTCCCTCTTAGAAAAAAATAAGGTACACACGTGCAATGCCCTTCGCAAAATGTAGATTAGAAAAGAAAAAAATAAAAAATATTGTGTGGGGTTACCCCTCACAAAATTAAAAAAGAGAAATTTTAAATTTTAAAATAATGAATGATTTGCGAGGGGCAACCTCCTGGGAAAAATAAAATGCGCGTAAATCTTTATAAATAGCGACGAGCAACCCCAAGCTATTTGTCAACGTGACAATAGCGAGGGGCTACCCCTGCCATCTAGACAACTTTTGTCTAGTCATGGTAGTGTGCAGACTGCACCTGCAGGGGCCTTTTTCCAATGCATTATTTAGCGAGGGACTACCCCACGCCTCTTTTGAACGTTTTATTTCCGTTGGACTTCCCTTCGCTAGATTCAAGCCCAATAATTGCATCACTTATTTACCCATTGTTTCAGATTTCGTTCATATACATTTCCTCATCTTTTCCCTGCCTCTCATGTTCTTCTCTTCCAACAACATTAATTGTTCTTCTTCTCATATTTTTCCCAAATAAAATCTAAAATTTTCAATCACAATCTAAAGTTTCAGGTAAATAAATTAAATTATTTTGTTATATATTTAAATTATTTTCAATATTAGTGTGTAATTTGTTCAGATTCTTATTTTTAGTTACTAATTGATATATCTAAATGGAACTAAATTTTGAAGAAAACTGCAAAAAGCTTCAAGAAACAGTATTTACTCATCAATTTCAGATTTTTATTATAAAATTTTCGTTTTCTGCTATATTTGTAGATATATTTGGTTATAGATTTGTATTGTGATATTTAGTTTATAAACTGAAAATATTTTTTTTAAATTTTTTTTTTAAATTATATATATATATATATATATATATATATATATATATATATATATATATATATATATATATATATATATATATATATATATATATATATATATATATATATATATAATAATTGAAAAAATATATTATTTTGTGATATATATTAAAAAATAGTATGTATAATTAAAAAAACAGAATTCATAATAAAAATAAATTTGAAAAAAGTATTTATAATAAAATGTATGTATAAAAATAGTATAAAAATTATATGTATAATAAGTATTTATAAAAATAGTATATGTATATAAAAAAAATATGTATAATATATATTTATATATTTAAAATAGTATATATATTTATATATTTAAAATAGTATATAATTGAAAAAATATATTATTTTGTGATATATATTAAAAAATAGTATACATAATTAAAAAAATAGAATTCATAATAAAAATATGTTTGAAAACAATATTTATAATAAATATGTATGTATAAAAATAATATGTATAATAAGTATTTATAAATAGTATATGTATATAAAAAATAATATGTAGAATTTTCAATATATAATATATATTTGATTTTTTTTAAAAATAATTGAAAAAATAGTATAAATATTTATATATTTAAGAAACAATATATACATTAAAAAAAACAGAATTGATAATAAATATATTTGAAAAACAGTATTTATAATAAAAATTATATGTATAATAAGTATTTATAAAAATAATAAATGTAAAATAGTATATGTAAAATAATATATGTATGAAAAACAATATATATAATTTCTAAATAAAATATATAGTTTCTAAAAATATATATTTTTATATAAATAGTATATTTTTTTGAAATATGTAAATACTTATGTATAAAATAGTAAACATAATTTTTATGAAATATGTATAACTTTAAAAAAAATATAGTTTCTAAAAAATATATATTTTTATATAAATAGTATATTTATTATTTAAATAAATACGTCGTATATTTCTAAATGAAAAGAAGATAGTTTATGTTTAGGATTAAAAAATTATTGAAAGTTTATTGTCGATAGATCAATTCTTATTTTATTTAATAAAATTAAACATGAACATGTGTAGTATGGAATATTATCAATTCTATCGTAGTTTGATGTATGATAGATCGTTTTCTGGAAGACGTGGGCTTAAATCGCATTTTAAGGAAGGAGTTGCCGGATTTCTCTCGTATGCGTTTGGTCAAGAATGTTGTCGAAGCGAAGGATGGATAAGATGTCCATGTTTAAAGTGTGGTTGCAGAAATATTATTAGTGACCCTAGTGAAGTGAAACTTCATTTGGAGAAAGTGGATTTTAGACCAAATTATTGGGTTTGGACTTTTAATGGGGAAAAATGCCAGAGATGAATATAGAGGCTTCTAGCAGTCAAACACGTGTTGGACCAGATATAAATACAGATGATCCAGGGAGTTCATCACATATGCAATTCCATGAACAATTTAATCTAGTCGAGGATATGGTCAGTGACACATTAGGGGTGAATGTGACTTATGATGAACCTCAAGACTTTGACGCAGAAGAGCTCCCAAATGAGAAAGCACAAAAATTTTATCAGTTGATGAAAGAAATAAATATGCCATTGTTTAAGGGGTCTCTTGACTCTAGGCTATCAATGTGTGTTAGGCTTTTTGCCAGTTTTCGATCGTCCAGGCCGTCCCTCAGGGAAGACGGGTGAGCATTGGCTTTCTCAAAAAGAAATGCAATCTGCCCATGTTCATATGTTGATTAACTGCGTTGAAGTTAAAATATATCTTGAGTAAGTATATTTAATTAAGTATAATTTTATTGGTTAAGACTTGTAACCTTCTCTAACCTATATATTTTTTTCAAAATAGGGAATTTAGTACCTACTATTATCAAAGCACAGGCGAACAACCATCGATTGATTACACACATGTCTATTTTCCAGCATGGTTCAAGCAACGATTATCATGTATTTGAAGGGTGAGAAAACACTTAGAAGGGGGGTTGAATAAATTTTTCCTTTTTCTTTTTCTTACTAGCTCAACAATTATGAAAAGACACAGTTATTTTTATCCTGGTTCGTTTGAACTCAAACTACTCCAGTCCACCCGCCAAGGTAATTTCACCTTTCTCAACAAGGACTTAATCCACTATAATCAAACATATTACAATCACACAACCAAACTGTTGTGACTATCAATACAAAGCACAAGTAAACTTACAAGTGACTAACACCACTAAGACTCAAACTAGTCCTAGCCTTCTTGAGAAATCTGACCAAGCTTGGTCTCTCAAGGAACAAATACAAGAATTAAATTTTTACAATAGTGAAACAAATTGCTTCTTAGAAAGCTATATCACAAACTGTGATTTATCACTAAGATATGTTTTGCACTTGAGAAAATAACAAAGTGTTTGTGAGAAAATAATTTGTGAGCAGCAGAATAATTTTCACGTTGATAGTTGGCTTGCAATAAATGATATTTTATTTATAGCATGAGGAAAACGACTGTTACTGCCTTCAAAAGTGAGGAGCAATTAATGTTTGCGTGTTAGCTTGCATTATTGTTTCTTTCAATGAACTAGCGTAGAGACACTTGAATGCTTTAGCCGTCTTTGCATTAAATGAACAAACGGCACAGTCAGAGCTTATTTTCTGAAATTTGACAAGACTGTTTGCTTCTTTAATCTTTCAGAACTTGCTTCAAATCTTGCTTCAGAATTTGCTTGCAAATAACTTCTCATCAGAGCTTGCTTGCAAAATACTTCTGAACAGAGTTTGCAAGGAAACTTGCTAAGATTAGAGGATGCTTTAAATTGCTTCTTATCAGAGCCAGCGTCAGAACTTGCACTAAATAAATAGTTCTTTCATAAAAAAACTTCTTCATTTTTATTCAGCTCAGCACGTAAAATGATTTTCACCTTAGAAAATACTTCAGTCAGAACATTATCTAAAACAAAGAAATATGCTCATCAAAGTATCAATTATACAAAATATATTTTATTGTTATCATCAAAAATCTGAGATATGATCAGAACCAAACTTGTTCTAACAATATCCCCCTTTTTGATGATGACAAAAATATTCAGGTTTTGAAAAAAAAATTGAACAAGAGATAAGAATCTCCCCCTGAAATAAATATTTCTTTTTAAAAATAAAATAGATGTATAAGAAAACTTTCTGAGATTCTTCTTCAGAGCTTTGAGATTTTTCTTTTAGGATTTCTTCAGCAAGTCTTTTGAAGATGATGTTCAGATGATTAAACTT